AAAAAAAAAAAAATGAAAAAAAACCCTTGCTGAAAACACAATTCCGCTCTTGTTCATCTCCGTTTTTAGGTTAGCTATAGAAGCCGCTTTCAACAACCAAAACCAGTTTTGTTTCTCACGTCCAACTACACCTATTCCCCTCTCCTCTTTTTCTGATGACAAAAATCACCTCAAAAGCAAGCATCCAGCTCGCAAATTCTAATGCCCCAGTAACACTTGAGTAAAAATTACAAGCCAGCCTTAAAATTAAATTACAAATCACACTGCCCACCTGGAATTTCGAAAGAGCTTCATTGCTTCCTGCACGTTCTTCAATTTGCTCTTGAATGGAAAACTGGCGGCCTTTGATGCTACTGGAATGCAAAATTAATTCTTACCTCCGCCGTGATGAACTCCTGGGTGTTCAAGTATGCAGCAGATTTCAGAATTCAAAAAGCCATCCTCTCAACCAAAACAATCAAGAATGAAACTCACGCATTACAGGACTCCTTCCTTATGTTCGGAGGAAGGCGACGGTAGGAATAGCAAGTATCTGGATCAAAATTCCTCTGGAAAACAGAAATCAAAGAAAAAAGAAGCAGTCATCAGCAACTGTCAATAAATTTAGCAAGGGATATTTCTTTGATCCCTTTATGAATAAACTAGAATAAACTTTCTAGTGGAGTTAAGACAGTTGCTGTAAGCGCAGGAACCAATTCGTAAATAACTTCCGGAGACAAGGCAGATGATTACAATGCTCACTTCAGGACCTCATTACTTGACAGCGGCTGCGCACCTTTGAAATGTTATAAGAGATACAGAGAAACTCGATATTTAGTAAACGATCAAGGCGTATAAACTTACCAAAACGCAAGGGTTTTGGTTGTCACCGTCAACGAGCGTTTTTTCATAGGTACGTTGGCCAGCAGAGCTACTGTCAACACATTTACCCGTGGTACAACTTTGTCTCGGTGAAAAGCCTTAAATAAATCCAATACTGAAAAAACCGTTTTAACAGAGCCCAACAACACATTACTCCTTCTGAAAACTATCCTAATTTAATTTAGCCTCTAGAAAACAGCCAAGAGCAGAAAAAAAAAAGACCCCACGAAACACTCTGTCACCTTACTAAAACTTCTAGCGAAACAATATTATTATTCGCTCAAAACGTTGTTGAAATACTAAAGCAGCCTATAACTCAATGAACAAAAACTGGCTGCAACGCAGACCCACTGCTTCGAGAAACTGTTAGATTTTTGAAACGAATGGCCTCCTCTCTCTAAAGAATATTTGAGGCAAAATGTTCTCCCTTCTCGCTCAGTTCACTTATCAGGGAAAACCACAGAAAG